TGTTCATGAAAAATAATTTCTAAATTTTGAAAGGTCAAATTTTTAAGTGTGAAATAATTGATAAATGGTACATAAAATCATTTTTATTTCCTGATTCTGAATATATACTGGGTCTGTTGAGTCTGTAGAAAGCAAATTTGTTGCTAGAGGTGTTAATTGGTAAAAGAACATTCAGACTCCTGTTTTTTATTACATATTTTATATCAAGCTCCTAATGGAGCATCAACCTCCTATCTTAAATTGTAGGAGCCTCCTATAATGCAAGATCTTACTTTGATTTCTCTCCATGATCTTTACATATCACTAATTACTATTGTAAGTTAATCAAATTCTATCACTCCGATCTTTTTACTAAAATAATGAAGAAACTTTCACAAAAAGGCGTTAAATACTTTTTGTATTTAATGTCTTTTTATGAAAGTTTCTTCGTTATTTTAATTACTATTGTTTCTTTTTAGAAATTTATATTTGAATACATTGTTAGCTAACTTAATTTTTGTGAAGACTTGTATGGAATACTACATTTTTAGATGACCGAGATTAAATCTAGTGATTTTAAATACTTTACTATAATTGTAAATGGACAACATTGTACAGGTAACCCCCATATAACATGGGAGTTACGTTTCAAAAAATTGCTGTGTTACGCGAATCTGTGTTATAAAAAAACAAAGAACTAGTGCGAAAAGGAGGGTTACGTTCCAAAAATTAAAAAACATGCTGTTAAATCCTTATTTAAATCGGATTTATTATTCATTTTTTTCATAGGTAAAATACTTATTTAAGTAAATATTTTACCAAGGATTATTCATCCTATATGATGATCTCAGCATGAGCATCATTAACTGGTAACAGTTTTTGGGTGCGTTCGTTAATAGCGGTCACTCTGCAACGGGAGTGCGCTGCTGTTTGTAGTCATTTAGGAACGATGGTGAAAGAAAGATGGCGGTGCCCGCACTATTGATAGTATCCTGATAGTGGAATCTATAATTCTAAAATGAGCTTTTAGAGGCAAAAGAAGGGTCCCAATTGTAAAATTTAACCATTAAATGGATTATTTGTTGAAAGAGCATTCAAAGTAGCCACGAAAACAATTAGAATGCTTGCGTGGAGTTACGCGGAGGTATAAAAGAATACACCCTTTATTACATTTCATGTTGTACGAGAGTTTTACCCATTTCCCGAACTGTGTTAGAGTGAACCTGTGCTATAAAAGCAGTGTTATACGGGGATGTTCCCAATTTCTCAAACCATATTAGAGTGAATCCATGCTATAGAAGCGCTGTGTTATACGGGGGTTACCTGTATGTGTCAATGTGTTGTTAACGATAGCAGTGATGATAAAAAAAACTGTAAAAAAAAAATACATTTGCATTCTACAGGAATGCCTGATTCATTTAAAAAATACTTAAAGCAACTTGATGATTCACTTGGTTCTGATAAAATGCCATTCTGGGTTAAATAAAGTATATTTTAAATTGTTTAGAGGAAGAAATCAGAGATGTAGCAAATGTAGTTTGCCTGGTCCTATCTGTGTAGTATTAAATAGTTGGAAGTGTATTTAAGAATTTAATGTTTAACACTGAGCTTACTCAAGTAGGACTGATAACTGATTCTCAGACTGAGTGAAGTTATATAGTTGAATGCAGGCACATTAGAGAATAAACAGTTTCTGGTAAATTTTTTCTTTTGTGTGATCTTTTTATATAAATATGAAATTTTTGAATGTGTTTGTGTTTCTCTCTCAGTCCAAGAACTTCAATGTTCAACTTTCTTACAAGGAATTTTTGATTACTTTTTTGTTCTTGCTGTTAATTTGTAAGGCAAAATACTTGATTGCTTGGAAGTTATTGTATTATTGAGACATAATTTTTTTATAGCAACAAATTAGTAGTGAAGCTAGTCTGAATTTCCGAACACAAGAAGAAATTTGACTTAGTCACTAAAATTTTGATTTTTTGATAGTTAAAACTTTGTTCAGCTTATGTTAAAATTATTTACATACATGAGAAGCCTTATGTAATTGGGATAATTCCAGGCTAAAATTAACTATAAATGAAAATAGTAAAACTAAATAAAACTAGTTATCATTTTATCTCCTGTTTTGTAATGTAGAAGACTGGAAATGATGACACTATTTTCATCAATGAATAGGAAAGTGGGGATATGACCGACATCTTTCACCAGCCTAACTATAGTTCAAGGTCAGAAGGTCATACCTTCATTGTTGGAATGTACTGGATGAATATTTTTAGATACAAAACCAAACCAAATTGAACTATTGGAATTATGAAGGAAAATTTTTGCTTTTCAAGTTTAATTTTTATTTCTGTATCTAAAACTTCTCTGCTTACGTTTCCTCCCCCCTGGTATTGTTTTTTGTAATCTAATCTTTCATACTTTATGCAAAACATTTCTAATATATTTAAGATTAGATTAAGTATGACAGATTACATAAAACACAGATCATTGTTGCAGAAAGAAGACTATATAAGTGGACAATTTTCAGTATATAAAACTTATTACAATTAAAAGCAAAATTTTCTAAGTTTTTGGTTTTTGTATCTAAAGGGATATTAACTGGTTGATACTAATTTTTATACATCAGGGCTATAAGAGTTGAGATAATTGTCTTAACTTGAGCATCTGAACACACTGGTAGTAATAATAGTTTGTTCAATTCACGATATCTTTTGTTTGCCTAGTAAAAAGAATCCTTCTGATTCTTATTGAATATTAATGAAAATTAAAGGAGTATTTTTGAGCAATTACAGAATGAAAAGTATGGGTCACCATTTTAAATTAATTTTTGCCATTAAGCAAGCTTTGAATTCTTGATAGATTGTCATAAATTATTATTTTGTGGGAGTTAACTTCATGTTTTACTATTTTGTAAGGCTAGAAACTTTGTAATCTAATTTTTCAATCACAAATTTTCTGGAACATTTAATTATCACTAGAGCAGATATGATAGCAATTGCTACATTTTTCTGTTTAGAGATGCTTTCTTGATAACACATTTTTTTACTAGACATGACTCTACACTCCTTTGAATAAATTCTGCAGTGTTACTTTGTTACTTTATTGTTAATTATGAAGCTTTAGATACATTGAATTTTTTTTACGGTTTGCTCTTTGATAGTGCTAATTTTACTAACCTAAGTATGATGGTGCCATGTTTTAAGGATAGCTTTCTAGATATAGGAAACTTTAAAGTGTGAAGAGAAAAAGGAAGTGTAAACGTAGGAAAAATTTTTAAAAGTATGGGTACATTTCATGAAATTATTATTATTACAACCAAAATTATTTGATCTTTAAATGCTCAATCTTTACACTATTTTGTGTGCGTGCACTAAAAAATGCACTGGCTGTGTAGGTCCCAGTAGTGGCCAACTTAAATGCAAATTTAACCTCTTCAGTCATTAGACCAAATGTATTATATAACACTAAATACAATGCTATATAATAAAATTTATTATATTAAAAATTGGCTGAATAGCAAATTAAAACAGTAAAGGAATTAGAGGATATCTCGCTTATTTGTTCATTTTCTTCCAGTTCTTTGTAATGTGTGATAACAGTAAAGAATTATTTTTGAATTTGCTACTTTTTTGTGTTACCAAGTCAGATCTCTAATTATTGTGTAATTGACTATTTGGAAGTTTGTCATTAAAGTAAAAATTTCTCATCTAGGAATTTTGCTTTTTTTAGTTATCTTGCTATTCACAGATATTTAAGAACTTAACATTGCTTAATATTAGCATTAAAAATAAATTAGAAATTAAGATTTTAATGATCTTAATAGCATTATTAACTAATGAAATGTAACTTCTCTTTAATAGTAACAAAATTAGGATGACTGGTGACTTTTGGGGACTTATTTGTTAACAGAACTGTAAACAACCATAAATTCCAGCATAAGTACTTTATTAATAACTAATGTTTAACCATTTTCAAAAGCTTTTGTCAGGCTACATTACTTTGAATACAAACAGTACCTCTGAGAGTTGTTTGTGAGTATTTTGATATTCAAAATTGATTGGTTTACTTAATTCAAAATTTAAGATATTCTAAGCAACCTTCTTGTCTTTATTTATAATCTTATTTCAATGTACAACATTGCAGAATTTCCAACTGCTTATAATCTGTTTTGTGCCAACTTCCCATTTGACCACACTATTTTTTCCGAGAGTGGTCACGAACAAGAGGTTTACCATATAAATTTATTGAAATATTGTTGCTGATTTGCTTGACCATTTCATTAACTGCTATTAGGTGTCTAGATTTCAATTTAATTTGGATTCATGCTTTCTCATAATATAGATAGGTTCTGTTTTCCAGTCTTGTCTGATGCAAAATGGTGTCAACCAGCATAATCTCGTTTTTAATGGATGTAATTTAGATCAGTTACTTGGCCTTTAATAATCTAGTACCTATTCAGTAACATTCAGTATTCTGACACAAATTTAACAATAGTTCAGACTTGTGTATATTTAGTAAAATGTTTTTAAAGTTTTGTGTTCTATTTGATTAACATTGTTTCAATTCTGTACTTTAAAACTTTTTATGGAGGTATTTTTCCAATTAAATTTTGTTTTGATCCTTAAGGTAAATTAGCTTCATACTGCATCACACGGCCACATTATTTAAGTTATCATTATTTGTAATTTTTTCCTCTTTGCCATTTTAGTTCCATTAATTAATTGGATTTTTTGTTAAAATTGTGTTGGTGATTGTAATCAAATAAAAACTGTCTTTGAAGAACGTTTGTAGAATAATATCTTATTTTTCAGCCATAATAAACATTAGCTTCCTTGGAAATTGGAAATTTGCTCATTATGATTATTGTAATTTGTGTAATTTACTTTTGACAATTGAATGATGAGATAAACATGACATGCTTATTATTCTAAGCAAATTGATCTTTTATTCATGATATATTTTGTTTAAAAAAGTGATTTTTAGAATTTCAGCTACTAACTAAAACTTAAATATTTTAGGTTTACTGTTAAATTGTGCTTGTTCAACAATGGGAAACATATTTGCAAATCTCTTCAAAGGGTTGTTTGGTAAAAAGGAAATGAGAATCCTTATGGTTGGATTAGATGCGGCTGGAAAAACCACTATTTTGTATAAATTGAAGTTAGGAGAGATTGTCACAACTATCCCCACTATTGGTAAGTACAAAATTTGTTCAATTCTGAATAGAATATCTAACTTGTTTGGTTTTTTGCTTAATTTGCATGGTAAATCATCATATCCTATGTCAATTTACCAAATTGGAATATGCCATTTTGAGATGTAATTTTCACAAGCATATAAATAGCATGCACACATTCATTTCGAATTTAAACTTTTTTTTATTAATTTTTTAATGTCAAAATACAGTAAAATATTTTCCGTATTGGAAAAAATTTGTATAGGGTGTTTAAAAATTTTCATAAAGCTAACTTATAATAAAACTGTAAAGACAACACTGAACAGTCTATTTGCAGGATGAAAATATCTGATATGCCTATTGTGTGATTAATACTGTAAATGTTAGTGTTAAAAACTTACCAAAACAATTCTGTTCTGTACAGATAAATTTTTGACACATTCAGTTTTTATTATGTAACAAATTCAAATTTCAGAATTATAAAGACATAAAAGCAATATATTCCAGTATTGTATAGTGTGAATACCCTTGGATTAGAGTCACAAATGTTCCATAAGATATAATTTCTGGTAACTAAAAGATATTTCTTATTCACAAAACAGTGTTTACAACAAAATAGAAGAAATTGGTAATGAGTATCTTGTCACAAGTGACCGACTGATTTTAATATGGCTAACCAGAAAGTGTTTCTTAGCGATGTACCTTTAGAATTTTCTTGCTTCTCATTCATTTGAAATGTCTGAGAAAAAAAGAATTATATTGTGTTTGTTTATAATTAAAATGCTTTACAGATAGTGTAATGAGAAGAAAAGTAATTAGAAAGTAAACTTGTTACTAAATATAAAAGAAAACTCCTAAATTATTAGATGTGCAGTGAAAGCTCTCTGAAATTGATAATGGTAGTCAGAAGTTAGCTAGTTTTTTTTTCTTATACTTGAGTTTACAAATAGTGGATTTAGTAGGATTGGATTATATTATTGAAAAGGTGAATATCTTATTTGAGGAATGATTGTAGAAATACCATTATTCATTGAAGTTATGAATTTGCACATTAACAAGTATGGATACAACTAAAGTTGCAAAAGCACCATATTTTTTCCCCTTCAAGTATTAAAATTTACTTAATCTAAAGTGTTACTTAAAGGATATGATTATGAAATTGGTTGAAATTTTTCTACTTACTTAAATATCCAAGCAATCATTTAATTCTAGATGTAACTAATTATGATCTAAATACTTTCAAACTTTTATTAAATTACATTGTCTAAACATGACACTTTTTTATTTTTAATTTCATTTGAATTTTCTAACAAATGTAATAACTACTATTGAGAAATATTTTTTAATTTTCAGGATTCAATGTTGAAACCGTGGAATACAAAAACATCAGCTTCACAGTTTGGGATGTTGGAGGTCAAGATAAAATCAGGCCACTCTGGCGTCATTATTTCCAGAATACTCAAGGTAGTTTAATTTTTATAAAATTAAAAACCCTACTTAACAACCCGAGAGACAGTCCATCTTTATATTTGAACTAAGTCTAGCATTAAAACAGAAACATTCTAATATACTGTTCTGTATTTTAATAAGAGTTTCATTTCTATTTTAAATATTTTATTAGAAATTACTGTATTTACTTGGATATAAGACTATCTCGCATATAGGATGAGGTGTGACGTTAAAGATCAAAATAAAGAAAATTAGATTTATAAATACAATTCTAATTTTATTTTGTTTAATCACAAATAAAATATCAAATGCACATAAATGCACACACTGTCCCACAAAAATTACTGGCATTTTAAACTTCAAGTAAAAATCTTGTAAAATTGACAACATAATTTGTTCATGTAAAGCTGGACAATTATTGGGAACCTTTTTTTGCCAATTCTTAACAGTCGAATTCACTCTTAGTCAGTTACACTTAGAGTTTCTCTGAATTCTGATTTCCAAATAATCATCCGTTTTTATGTGGGAATGAATTAAAACTTATATCGGGTTCCCATGTAATTTTGGAATTAGACTCAAAAGCTTTGCTTTTCCTATTGCTATTCATCTTTGAATTGTTCTTGTGTATTATCAGGAGTAAACAACCCAGATAAAATACTTTTGTTTTTAAACACCAGAAGGTGAGAATCCAGTAAAAAGTGCGAATACAGTAATACCCCGAACTTACGCGATAGGTGGGACCGAGCGGTAACCACATAAGTCGAATTCGCGTAAATCAGGGTATAATTTCGCATATAAATACATACAAATAATTTTTAATTGGGGCCGGAGACTAAAGAAAACAATAATTTAGAAAAAAATGTTTAATGAAATCTTAGATAATACATATGTATAACAAACTAGGCCTATATTATTTTACAATTTTTCACATTTACTTGATTATTACGCCATAATTTTAACATTGTTTCCATCTCAGCAATAATACTGTGACATTTACCAATGATGCTTGAATTTAAAGATTGAGCATTTTTCACAGCTTTGAGAATTTTTTTCTTTGCCTTTTATAATTGTTCTGACCAACAATTTCGGTAGATCAAACTTTTTTGCCAATTCACAAATTTTCATTTTTGTATCAAAGTCTTTAATAAGTAAAGTGAAATGAGTTAAACGCGTTAGTAACGAATCATTCGAAAAGTCTAATGAAATAGGAATAATGATGACGTCATTCTTGTTTAACTCATTCGACTTTACGAACATACCCAATGTTAACTTTACATTCCAAAGATAGTTTTTCTTTTCTTGTTTGATGCAGAAGAATTAGTTCTACTTCGTTTGGATGACATAGTAGAGTCTCTCGAGTCTCTAGATATAACAAACACAAAAATAAACAACACAAAATAAATTGTAGCTATTTGTTGATTCCGCGCGACACATCCGAACTTGTAAGCTGAAAAATAGTGTGGGGGAGTGAGTAATCAAGGTTGCGTGGCACTCAAACAAAAGACGAATCGACGAGATTTGAAAATCGTGTAACTCCGGGTTTGAGTAAGTCGAGGTATTACTGTACACAGTTTACAAAAATTATTGCAAAAACAAAATGAATTCTTCACTTGTGTGTATAGGACAACCTAGGTCATTGAAGCAGTGAAAAATTAATAAAAACCTCATCTTATATGCAAGTAAATACGGTAAGTTTTTTTCCTGAAAAGCTCCTGAATTTTAAAATTTGACTGAAATAGTTTTTCCTGAACACAAATAAAACTAAATTCAATTTATTTCAATGCTTTTTTGATATATACCATTCATCTTTTGACAATTTTAAATTCCTTTAGTTGTACTTAAATATTTTTTCAAATTTCCTTGATTTGTTTCTAATTAAACTGAAGATAATGTAAATGTAAAAGCACTTTGATAAATTGGATTTAGTTTCATATTGTATGATATATATTCATAAATCAATGCCTTGTGTTTGAACCAAATATTTGTTGCAAAGTTTTAATTGTTGATATAATAAGTTATATATAATAGTTATATATAAGAGGTTATCACACATTGAAACTTTCATAAAACTAATTTATTAAACATGAGTATTCTGACCCATCTAAAATGCATTTTGGTTAAAATACCATGTTAGTTTTCACCAGTTAGGAAGAATTCATCTGAGTCATACATATTGTAAGACTTAAATGATACATATATTTTAGACATGTTAATTATATTATAACATTAAAATACCATAAATAAATAGCTAGCAGTTGACAGTTGCACTTACACTAAAATATTGTTTTTCATTAGTTATTATCTTAATTTTGGAGGGTTAGAAACTTAATAATTAATGTTTTAAAAGACATTTTAAAGATTCTGTAATTATTGCTGTAATATATTAATGTTAATTTTTTCGTGCTTATTTTAGAATTTGACAGCATCAGAATTAAAAAAATACTGAATAAAATGTTTCATATAATTTTGTACTGTAAGTAACTCACTAAAATAAGTTGGAGAAATCATATCTGAGAGTTGTAATAAGTGCAATAAGTTTTACTATAGTGATTCAATTTTTAAGTAAAATATCCAAATTTTCTTACAGTAAACTTCATAAATACAGTGCTGATTAACTTTGGTTTGAGTATCTCATTCTATCAAAAATTAGTAGGATGATAGTTTCTTCAAAGCTTTAGGAGAAAAGGTAGTACATATGAACTGAAAAAAAAGCCTAAAATTCCAGATAAAGAATTTGTGGATAAATTCGTGTTGCTTGAACCATGGAAATTACTAAAATAACTTCATTTATCTTGCAAAATTGTTACTAACAAGGAGACCCTACGGCTTTGGGGAAACGGATTTTGATGATCTTTGATGTAGAGATAGTATACCATGTGAGTGTAATTTAATTGCAATAACATCTGATACACTATCTGAAAATGCTATGCTGATAGGCACAGAATTATATTCAATACAATAATATATTAGATGTGTTGAATGGAAAAAATTTATAAATGTTGCAATTAAATTATTTTTGAAAAGTAAACTCTCATAATACACTACTCCTACTTTTAGCCGCTGCTTCGGTACATCACTGTATAAAGCACAGGTTCCCAACCTATGGGTCGCGACGGGTTTTCTGTGGGGTCGCCAACTTATGCAGTAAACTAAAACAAAATTTTCACTATAATGCAATATTTATTTTTAATGGTGTCTTAAAGTTTGAATAATTTCATATATTTTTAAAAAATTAAAATAAGTGTAATCTGGGTACGCTATTCTGTCACAGTTGGTTGAAACATGTGTTGAGAGTTTTGAGAGGAATAAATTAAATGTTGAGAATGACATGAGGTTGACGTTAAAAAAATCTCACCCGCGAATTTTGAGGCTGGTTAATAATACATGCAATTTCAGCCATCTCATTAAATTAATTATTAAACATAATTTAAAATAAAATTATACTAAAAAACTAATTTCATTGTTCTTTTAATTACCTTATTAAAAATACCTTTTTCAATTGTATCGGTGTCGCGGGTCACTTGGCTTTTATAAAAAGGGGGTCGCCACCCGAAAAAGGTTGGGAACCGTTGGTATAAAGAGTTATTTCACTCTTTCGTCACAACGTGAAGAACTTGCTTCTCTTGATGACATTTTTTTAATTATTCAAAATAAATTTCACTGCACAAATACGTCTATACGTGTTGAAATTCAGAAACGAACTGTTAGAGTGAGTGAAAAAGAACTCCAATAGAAAAACGCTCCTAGTGAGAATTAAATCAGTCATTGTTAGTGATGACAATTAGATGGGAAAGTTGACACAAGTGTCAAGAATGCGCTGCTGTTGTCAACTAAAGTAAAAAAAAAATATTAGACTTGGAATAGTAGAAATTAAAATAAATAAATAATAATAAATAAATGAATGAGTAAATAAATAAATACATTATAAGTATTTATGAACCAAGAAAAAAGTATACGTGAGAATCGAACCTGGTAACTCAAGTGTACAAGTCAGGATCGTTACCACTCAGCCACAGGACACTCAAATGGAAGCATGTATAATTTATGTATAAAGTGCTAAAAAACTTAAGTTTGTTTTTCTTGATTTATATTTGAGTATTGCACTTTAGTATTTTATAGGTAGTACACTCAAATGGTGTACTATCTCTACACCAAAGATAATCAAAATCAGTTTCCCCAAAGCTGTAGGATCTCCTTGTAAGTAATATTCCCTACCATCAATTCAATTGTTAAATACTTAGCAGAATACATAAGTAAATGTTTTGTTGCTGAATTTATGTAAGGAAATGTTTTCAATTTTGAGAATAGTTACAGCTGTACTTGGAACAAATTCATTGTTTTTCCAGTTTGGAACAGTTCTGTCTTTTAGTTCAGTTGTTATTCTAAGTAATGAAAATAAATTGACTAGGGTTTTTTTGGTTTTACGTATTCGAATATCTTAACTTTTTTTACTCACTCTATACTCTCTAAAGCTCAGAGTTAATATATTTTAACAGCAGTAAATAGAAATTGATTGTTGAAGCATTATTAGTAAATATGTAAGGAAGAAAAAATATAATTAGTAAAGATAATATAAAGCTAGCAGGTTTAGTCTAAGTACAGCTAGCTTAGATTTATTGTCATGTCTAAACTACTAACATTACTGCCTAAATAACAGAAGTTTTGAACTGACTTCATACTTTGCAATACAGACAGTTTTATGATAATTGGACTGTTTTCAAGAATTACATTGCAATTCACAAAATTGTTAAATTATTTTTTACAAATCTGACAACACTTTGCAAAATGAGTGTGCATGTTATGTTTACTTTATAAAGATTTAAAAGCAAAGTAAAATATTCCAAAGAAATCAGAAGTTTAAAGTCTTCAAGGCAATCTGTTGTAAACCCAACAGGCCAGATGGCTGAGGTTGTTAAGGCATCATTCTACCACTTAGGGGTCCCAGGATTGAGTCTGGGATAAGCAAGTTTCTGGGAATTTTTTTGTGGGCAATTTTGTTCCTGTCCATCATAACCTAGCTGCTCTGTTGTGAGCCTGGATGAACCTATGATAAGTGTGGAAAAAGCATTTTAATTCAACAGGGTAGAGTAAAATAAACTAAAACTACTATAAAATATACTATTTCATTTAAAAATAAATTAACTAATTTAGAAAGTTTTTTATACCTTGTTTCATGTATTAGTAGTTTTTGTGCTCATTTAAATGTTGCAAAAGATATTGTTACAAACAATAAATTTGTTAAAGATGCATTCAGAACAGGATGTGAATTTTAATTGATTTGTATGAAATCTTGATATATAAAGTATCTAAACTAGACAAAAATATTTCAACATCAAACAAAAAAAGAAATCTATATATTTTAAACATTATTAATGTCAAAGTTCAATAAATGGGAACCGATTTTATATAGTACTTAATCATGGATTCAACGAGTCAGTTGAGTCTATATTTGAGTCCCAGAATAGTTTCCACAAACCATAATTGTGATAGATTTTACAGTTATGGTTTGTGGAACTTTCACATTAGTTCATTTACCATTAGTTTAGTTTAATGAATTTTCATCTGAACAGTTTATATTACTTTATTGATTTTCAATTGTTTTGGTGATAACTAATCCAATACAACTGGCTAAGGAAAAGAACACACTGTTGAGGGAAAGGAATAAATTTCAGTTGTTGGTTAAAAATTGTTGCAATTCCTTTTTATACCAATACCTTCTAATCTGATTACTGGTGTTAATAAACATTCCCACTCAACAAACCTTTATCTCCAGTAATGCTTAAATTTCTTGAACGAACGTTTTTGGCTTCATCCAAGGTCTGTTTCAGGTTAATTGAAAACAGGATTACAAATTATTTTAAACAATAATTTTTATAGATTTAAAATTCTGATGTCATCACAATGTGTTGTTTTTTTATTGAGTTTAAATGTGAATCAGTATACTTTTGAAAGTGTAATTTTGTGATGAATGTGTAATTTTTTGATGTTTTACTGGAACTGTGTCTGATGGGTTACAACATGGTCTCAAACTCAAATGTAGCAAAAGGCTAGTCAAATAGATTTGAATCAGACATAGGCTGTATTCAATATTATTCAGTAAACCGAAAGATACTGTAATTTCAAAAATGCTCTAATAAAGGCCTTTTTGTTGCCTCGTGTTTACAACTTAGACCTGTATGAAAATTCAAATACAGTAGAGCGTCGTTTATCCGAATCAGTTGGGGACTGGGGTTGTTTGGATAACCGGTTATGTACGAAAAAATATATTAACCTATCCCGTGTTGAAATTTTTCTCCGTTGCATGTCGCTTTGCGTTGAATTTTGTCGATGTTAAGCCTAACGTAAACTTTTAAAAATAATAATCGTGGCTATTGTATCGTTAAAAATGATTTCTTTGTGTTTTACAAACGAAATAAATACATTGAAAAATATAAAAACAAATAAATAAAAATTATACTTTAGGCCGACTAGAATTCTTTCGGATAAACGACGCTCTACTGNAAACGAAATAAATACATTGAAAAATATAAAAACAAATAAATAAAAATTATACTTTAGGCCGACTAGAATTCTTTCGGATAAACGACGCTCTACTGTACTTAGACATCTGAGTTTTTTTTTGTTTTAATCCCTGCAAGATGTTAGAATATTGATTTTTAACTTAATTAAGAAAAGAAATCAAGGCTGCCAGATAGGAAGCCTTACTGGGCTGTATCTGGCTTGCAGGCCAGATACGGCCCAGTAAGGCTTCCTATCCAGTTTGCAGTCCCTGGTTACAGGAACCTGAAAGCATTAGGAATGAAAACAAACACCAAAATGAGTAAGAAATACTTCTGTTTAATGTTATGAACAATAATTTATTATTTGCGCACACTTTTTTGCTAGTTAAACCTTAAAGATGTGATATGGCTTAATACTTTTATTGATAGTTTGAGATAAATTTAACAAGCAAAGTGTATTTGAATGGCAACATTTGAAATTAGGTCAAAATTATATAACTGATTTGATTTAAATCATTTTAATATGCTTGCTTTAAATGTTTTTTTTCATAGTAAGAATGTCACAAATTTGGATTATTTTACTTTACATAGTGAAGAAATTAATTCTTAAACTAAAGACAAGGTATTTGATTTGTGATTTGGGCATTTTATTTCAGATTTCAGACTGTTCATTTTTCATTAATATACTGTATTTGTAATTGTCTTGTTACAAAATGTGTAAATTTTAAAATGGCACATCTTAATTTTTTCTCTCTAGGTCTTATTTTTGTCGTCGACAGTAATGACAGGGAACGTATAGGAGAAGCCCGAGAAGAATTGATGAGAATGCTCGCCGAAGACGAACTAAGGGATGCGGTCCTCCTTATTTTTGCTAACAAACAGGTAACTTAAAAATTTTTCATTTTTATCTGTAAGGATAATTGTAATTTTCTAAATTCAGATAAAAATGTGTGTGTATTTATGAAATTTAAAATTTTTTTAGGACTTGCCAAATGCAATGAATGCAGCCGAAATCACAGACAAGCTAGGCCTTCATTCCCTCCGTAACCGTAACTGGTACATTCAGGCTACATGTGCAACTAGTGGTGACGGTCTCTACGAAGGTCTAGATTGGTTGTCCAACCAATTGAAAAATCAGAAATAAATATTAAACGTAAATGGGGGCCAATAGTTAATGATGTATCAGCCTTTGTGGACTTTGGCCAAGAGTCAGTTGCCACCTCCTCCCGACGAACATTTACACTATCAATCAGTAGATTTTTTTTCGTTTAATTTCCAAAGATCAAATTTTTTTATAATTAAGAAATGTATATTAATCTGTCCTAGATAAAAATCGTAGTTTGTCTTTTCGTCTCCTTTGCCGTAAGTCGGAATTTCGAGACGACCAACGAGATTTTTAATTTATCGTTGCGCACGGTTCGTCCGACGGACGACTTAGGGCAAAGGCGCGAGTGCATGTAATGTACGCACGTTTTTTGGAATTTTCCTCTAGGAAAGATGTACATCATTTTTCGTTTCTTGTCATATATTCGGAGGAGGAATATTTTCCGGCGATGCAACCCGTTGTACATAATGGCAATGTGAATCGCATCTCTTCATGTTAAGGGCCCAAAGTCAATGAATGTTCATTTTCTTTTTTTTTTTTTTTATGTTGGTAATTTCATTTAAATTTTTTCATCTCTGAGTTAGTGTTGTATGAAAGATATTAACAGTGGACAAAGAAAATGTGCAGATGTCGTGAGCTTTGAGTGATGGCCATTAATAAACAAAAAAACAGTGAGCTGGCACTCATTATTTTGAATGTGGTTATTGGTAGTTTTCAAATCTCAAATGATCCGTTCTTTGTAATTTACATCAAATAATATCACATTTTACTTTTATTTCTAGGAAAAAAATAAATGTGTTATACTGTAGTTTGCTGTGTTTTCTTCTGAAAGACTATCACCAAACTTAATAAAAATGACCGCACAAAATAATTCTTACTCGTATGTCTGATTAATATTAATGTACTGCTCGGTGATCAGGGTTAAAGCCCTCTATAATTGAGTTAGGGTCTCTCTTGTATCATTTGTGCCAATTGATATCTTGATAAAACCAGTGAGAGTCTAGATTAATTTAATAGAAACTTGCATTAATAAACCCATCATTAATGCAATTTGAACTGAAGTTCAAGATACATTGTAGACTAGACAATTCACTAATTCTTCACACACCCTGCATTGCTTAAATTTACTAAATTTTCATTGCCTTGCGATATTCTTAACATTTTGGAGAAGTCTGTTGCAAGTTTTTTCTCTAAAATGTTTAAGCATTCTCAAAGGTATAGGAAAATCATTTTGAGTCAAAAGTTCCAGAGTATTGGTAAGATAGTTTAAAACTGCCATTCTAAAAACGATTACTTCTAGATTAGATTTTAGAGCATGAATCCCTGTAAGGATATTCAAAACAACACAGACCCACAGTAAGGATCTTAATGTTTATTGTGAGAATCGGTTCCACAATATGAATCCTAAAAGACCTGTGGGAAAATTTTAAGGAAGCCCATCGTTTTTAATATCCAATATAATTTTAGCATTTTGTTTGTAGCCCACGTATGTGACCTCGCCGACCAATGCCAAAGGGATCATTTGCGCTCAAGATTGGTTAGGCACCTTTTTAAAGTGGTTTATGGGGAAAAGGAAAACTACTAGCCACGTGAAATTAAATTAAAAGCGTGCGCCACACACTTCGTCGATCGATTAGTTTTCCACCACAATGGTAAGCTTACTCTTGCTTCATTAAGAATTTTATCTGTATTAGAAGAATCGGCGATATTAATTGAAATATTTGTATAATATCGCCGCATTCAATTTCAATGGGCGGTTATTTAAATGTTTTATATTTTTTTTTTTTTTACTCTTTCCGCCCTGTGGGCACTAAGAGAGCCTCATGTTGCAAGCCCATTATAGGTTCGACCAGGCCCACAATGGGGCTGCCGGGTGGTGAGGGACGGGGTCCGACATATCTGAACGGACCTTTCCCGAAAAATTCCTGGGGATTTTATCGACCGTTTTATTATATTGGAAAACGTCTAAAAGGCATTTTTAATAAATAAAAATGTAAATGGTATTTTTAAAAGCCTATTTCATCTAAAAGTCGCGTGAGAATGTTAGTCTCGGGCATCATTCGTCGGCGATCTTCGGTAAGAGCGGCAATCGACCATTCGGGGGAATCCGAGATCGAATCTGGGCGAGTCGCCCCTGGAATTTTTACGGCGATAAAGCCTATATATTTCGGGTCCCGTCTCTTGCCCTATTGTGAGACTGGTGTACCGGGTATGGTACGGAGGGGGGAAGTTTTAGTACACAAGGAAGAGAGCCAAAAAAATACGTCGTATAAAATACTAATTTTTAATTTTAACGATTCTTAAAAAATTCGAATATAAATACTTTTTCATAATGTTTAAAAATATTTTCGATACTGGTTTTAAATATAATTTTTGTAAATGTATCAAAAAAAAAAAAAAATTGATTTGTGAGGGCGCCATCTCTCTCTCAGTTAGAGAAACTAAACGTGGAGACATGTTCGTCTGACTTAGTTGTTTTAATTTCATTTTTCAACGATATCCACTTAGATGTAGGCGATATAACGGAAATTATACGCTAGAAGAACGCATAGAGATAAGTAAAATAAACAAGGTATAAGAATTTTTCTATATCTAATCAATAGTAATGAATTCTTATCAATTAGATAAGAGATGAACAGTTTGATTTTATTTATTTATATACCAATGGAAAGATAACGTGTATCATCACCTCTAATTAAAGAAAAACAACTCTATGATATATATATATAGCTTAAACATTGTACATAATACATTCTAAGTATACCCCTCTCAATAAATACTTAAATTCATCTGTGACGTCACAGCCTCATATTGTTGCTATTTTAAGTGGTTTTTAAGTGTGTACACAGCTTTCAGAACAATATTAATAAAAGAAATATCAACATAATCCTTGTATCAGTTCTGATGATTGATGACAAGTCTGTTGTTAGGGAGGATGTTTGAAGTTGTCTGTCTGCGCGTACTTTTACGTTTGTACTATTCTGAAGCGTGTTATGTGAAACTGGGCCGAGTTGTGGGTGTCTGCCACGGCGTCTGATCTGTCTTGACCTTCGCTGCTTATCGTGCTGCGCTTCGGAGTAAATGTTCTTAAGAGTTGACGTAATCTGAATTCCCCGAATGCAAGTTTAAAATTATCGTCGTAAGTGGTTTGTTACGGAACGTGGCTGATACATCTGCCGTTTCGAGTGCCCGAGATAGTTTTATAATTGTGTGATTTGAGTGGAAATGGGATTTTCTTCGATTGTTAGCAGAAATTATTAGTTTGCTCTGAATGAAAAATGTGCTTTTGAATTCTAAAACTTGGCTTTTTCAAATTAAATCTGTGATAAAATTCGGTATGTACGACCGTAATCTAAATGTGGAAGTTTCTAAGAAATGTAATGAAGAAAATTACACGGGTAATTGCATTTATTATGTAATTTTTATTATATATCAAAGGGAAAGAAATATGTGTTTAATTATATTTATATTTAGAAGTTAATGTAGTTAAACCTTCATATAATATTAATTATAATAAGTGCTTGCTTGTATTCATTTATCTAATTGATTTAAAGAAGTAATGACAAAATACATGGTTAACTTTACAATATTCAAACTAAGTAGGTTATTTAACTGTCTAAATTGATTAAATTCTAATAAATTCAGAAATAATGGTGAGAGAAAGCTGCAAGTTTGATTTGTAAATAATTTTATAAGTATAATTAATTGGCAATGAACTTTTGAGAATGCTCTCATCAGATAAAGGATGTTTCTGATTAGTATCATATACTAGGATATTGACATTTCCTTATTGTCATTTCTCCATTTTTTTTCTCTGCTTAATTTAAAATTTTTGACATATTTTAAGATACTTTATATAACAAAATTTAATTAATTAAAAAAAGTATTTTTAATATTAGGAAAATTAATAAGCTTTGTGCTTAGGTATATTAATATTTTAATGGATATTATAGTATTTATCATAAGTTTAGGATTTATGATAACTTAACAATCTTAAAAACTTTTAAACTTTAATTAAAATTCAAAATAAGAAAGAATTTAAGATGTATTGACTAAATTCTAGTGTTTGCAAGTCTTGCTAACTCATTTCAAGGCAAATTCTTTCAATGTTAAGCATTACATATTTAAAAGAAATATTCCAAACAACTTTAAAAATTTGATGTGTAATGTTATTGATAACTTAGAAATACAAATTCTTTCAAAAGCCAAATGATAAGATAGCGCAGTTTGAAACTGCTTGGATTTTACATGTTTAGAGCAGCATTTTCCAAACTGGAGAGTGCAAGATCAGTTTTACAGATGAACCACAAAGCTGATTCTAAAGTATCTAGAACATTTATTTTCCTAAAAACGTTGATAGAATTACAAGTTTTGTTATAAAAAATTACTCTTTTTGATACACTTTGTAAGTTTGTAAAACCTACTTTTGATTCTAGAAAGGGTTCATGGGTCTCTGTAGTTTGGAAATTGCTAGTTTAGAGGATTTATTATTATTAAACAACTTCTTTAATATAAACACTGCTAAAATATCTTAAGTTATTATTACTTTTTCTGAAAATGTTAATAAATTATTTTGTAAACAAAAAAGGTAAAATGAATTTGTATGTATTTTTAATAAGTTCATACAGTAAACTGAACCAAAACTATATGTTATTAATTAATTAAGAACCAGATTATAGTCCAATAATGAATTCTGCATTATTGTTTATTTTTTTTTAATGTTTTATATTTTTTAGATTACAGTCGACCCCCCCTATAACACGGGTTCCTATAGTTCGGATTTCCATATCACAGCGAAAAAATTGCGACAGTATTCATACAAACATGCTAAAAAACTTCTATAATTCATGTCGCGACAGGATTGGTCGAATCTAGACCAATAGCGGATATTGCACAAACCATTGAGTTTAAATGAGCAGCGGACCTACTAAAAACCATTTATTATTTAACGTCCATAAAAATTATATTTATATTAATGATGTCTCCAAAGTTCAGCGAATTTTTCGCAAAAAAAATAATTTATCAGGAAGCACGCNATAGCGGATATTGCACAAACCATTGAGTTTAAATGAGCAGCGGACCTACTAAAAACCATTTATTATTTAACGTCCATAAAAATTATATTTATATTAATGATGTCTCCAAAGTTCAGCGAATTTTTCGCAAAAAAAATAATTTATCAGGAAGCACACGAGCGCCATTCGATGACAAGCTCCACGACGAAAACAAGCTTAAGCAATGGCGTAGTCGAATGGTGCACACTCAGTAAGTAATCCTACAATTTTTTGTTTATAGCATAGTTTACATGGATTATTCCCAAAAAATTGTACGTGTTTTGGAAATGTTGAGTCAAATTAGTCTAGAATCGATTAATTTTATGGAAGAAACCTTTCAAACAGCCGTAGTCCATAAACTGCATACGTGCCGGGCTGTGATTGGCTGGACTCTTAGAAAATGGATTCATAAAAACCAGAACATATCTACCGTCTTATAGGGGGGTCAACTGTAATTTATTTTTTAAAATTACTTTTTTTCTGTGTTATCATGTGTACATCTTGTCTTTTTCCTCTAATAGTTATTAGTTATTTAAATTAAAAATAATGTTATTTATTAAACAGCATGTAGCAAGAAAACTAAACAATCTTTTGTTCATAATGGAAAGTTAAAATATTACAGATTTATGTTGAATATTGGTCTGAAGAATATATACTGTTAAAGATAATATTTATCCACAATTAACTAATTCACTTCACTTTAAAGGAAAATAAACAATACTTTGCTCAATTAAAGTATTTTAATTTAAAATTCTAACATTTTTTGAATACAGTCATATCCCTCTGTAGTGATATTTAGTGAAACAAGAAAAAAACTATTATAGAGAAATTTGTTTTAGTGAAAATTTTAAAAAAAGTATCTTCTTCCTTTCGGATTAAAGGGACAACCATTCACTGAATGAATATACATCTACAATTAGTAAATTCTTCCCTATTTAATATTATCGGATTACAAATAGAGTTAGTTCTACAAAATTAGCAACATTAGGTAGAATATTATTATTATTATAAATTGTAAGAAAGGAAATTTTAAAGCAGTTAATCCATACATTACAGTCGAAACCTTATCTGACTAGGTAATGTAACAAACCTCTTTTACTATTGAATTGGTGTAATTTGCAAAAATAAAACATTTGTATATAATTTTGGAGGAAACTTTGTTACATTAAACTCGTTTAACAATAAAGTTCTCTTAGGGAGGATACGAGGATTCTTAGTATTGCAAATTACACTTATTAAAATAATTATGGAGAACATTCTTCTTAATAAATTGTATTTTAGAATTATTTTAGTTTTACTTTAAAAATAACCATAAAACTGAGTGGCACAAATACACAATAACTACATATACAAAAATCCAGCAGAGAATGAACAGTACATAAGACCACCGAAAACATTTGTTCTTATGAACTATTCATTACTTGCTGGATTTTTGGATACATAGGGATTGCATATTTTACTTTCCTTAGTTTTGTTCTGAAGATCTGAAGATAGAATGAACAATAGAATGATAGAATGTTGTGTATCTGAAGATAAGATTAAAATCCAGTAAAGCACTTCATCCCAATAAATATCCTTACCCTTTTAATTTAAAAATTAAAAATTATAGTAAATTTTTAATTTTTTGAAAACAATAGGAAATGTTAGCTTAGAGCCCAAAAAATGTGCCTTAAAAGCATAAACTGTTTGAAAAAAGTTAAAATTTGTTTACCTTAGTGTTAAATACAGTTGTCCCTTGATAATCCGACAGGTATGGGACCAAAGGTGTGTCAGATTACCAAAAGTGTCCGGATTACCGAAAATAATTACATATTTCGCATTGTTTTGCTAGCAGTAACTTACAATATTCTCTACTCCAACTGTTCGAACAGAACTGCTCACATAAAACACACGAAATGTGTGTCATCGAATAAAAACTGGATGGGGAGATTCACATCGCGACATGCTTCTGTGCAAGCAGACACGTAACGGGGACGGGTACCTTGACGGGAGGTGCATCGGACTACTGAGCATGTCGGATTAAAAAACGTCGGACTATAGAGGGACAACTGTATTATCAAAATTTTTTCCAAATGCTATTAATTTTAAGTACCAAACAAAAAATTTAGGTGGTAAAGTACCGAAAATATATTAAATCCAGCAACTCTACTCACATCTGTATCAATACCTACTGACTTCAGGTAACATTTATAGTAGAATCACTTTATTTAAGAGAGTGCTACATTTTGATTCTAAAACTGAGTGATAAATTAAAACGATTTAAAATTTAATTTACTACTAACTTAGTTAATTTAATTTAAAATTTATTATTATTGTAGAGAAGGGAAAATACCATATATTTTAACAGTATAGTAAAAATAAAAAGTATTGCTAAACAGATTTATTAGAGGATATTGTTCAATAAGAAAAAGCTTACATTAAGCAACTATGAATTTTGTCAGAAACTATATTTCTTATTCTTAAGGAGAGAACTATTGTTATAATGATAATCACTGTACTGAGATTTGACTGTATTTAAGAATATAAGAAGGCTTTTCTTTAAAAGAAAAAATTTAGATAGTGACTTATATTATGGTTTCTCTTTATATTTCAAAGCTATTTTGGAAGTTGCAAGGATTTAAATTAATATTTATTTGAATCTCATTTAATTAATGGTTGAGTTACAAACTGGTAATATTCATAATTAAAATTACAAAAAATTTGTCTCAGAAAAATGTGTCCTAGTAAGCTCCGTTCATTTGTATGATTTATACTGTTTGCTGAACCTGAAGAGGATCCTTTAAAAGGATTTAAAGTATTAGTATAAAATGTAGAACAAATGCTGAAAAGTTCAAGGTGTATTATTTTAAATATTCCAATTTTACTATATTAATTATGAATTGTTAAGATTATAAAACAATTAATTTAAAATCTTAATTTTAACTGTAAGTTTCTGCTGTTACATTAATTAATTAAGGATCTGTGTAACTGAAATAAACTGTATCGAGCATAGTTCATAGATCTAAAAGTATGCTACAGAATTTAAGAGTACTTGGTATGATTGCTGCATTTCTTTATGCAGCGAGTGTGTAGCAAAAATGACATCACGAGCAGCTATCGCTACACGTCTCCTCATCATAGTTTAGAAATGCTTTTGACTCGAGCAAAACATGGATACCATAATCTATCCTTTAATTCCAGTTACTACTGAAAGTGGTGCTTTAGTTAAATAACTACAATATTTCAATAAAGAGATATAAAGAATTGAGCATTTATCTTTCCATGAATGTGAACAAAGTAAAGAGATAGAAGATACTATATTTTAAAATATAACTATATATTTTCTTATTTTTTAGATAACTTTC